CTCTCGTTTCCAACTAATTTATATTCCCTTTCTGTTCACCAGGCAAGAACCATGTAGTCCGAGCACTGAAATGTTCAATAGTACAGAGGAGAGTCAGGATGGAGATTTTGTGCGGGAAATCCTGTCGGACGGCCCCCCTGCCATGTACACGAAGATCCCCTCCCCACACCCATGGCCGGAGAACACAGGAACCCGTGACCCGAGGATACCCGAACCTCTCCCTCACCCGGAAACTAGATTAGAAGAGATAAATGTAAGGCAGATGAATCACATTTTTGAGAAATTTTTAGAATCTTACTGAAGTGAAATTTGTGTTGATGGTGTAACGTATGAACAAGGTTATCTTGCCAAATGTGGTCTGTCTTACATTGACTTAATTCCATGAAGGCTTCATTAAAGTGGGTAATTGGCCACTCATGCAGTTTTTTTTAAATAATGGTTATGTCTTACAGTAAGCTGCAAAACCTTAAAACAGCAAGCTGCTGCAAATTGATAAATAACACCTTATTTCATATTGGCTGCATGTATAGCAGAGCCAGAGGAGTGACTAATACTAATATCTGTGAATACATTTGCTTTTTCTTTTTCTCTCTTTTTAAGATAATTCTTTTATTATTCTTTTCATAGAACCTTGAGCACACTCCAGCTGGCTTATTGCTGACCGAGCATCTAAAAAGATGGCGTCAGATACGCAATCACTGGAGGAACACTTCCAAAGTCAATGACCAGCGTTATCACAACTCCTATGTTATTCTGAAGACAATGTTTGACAGGTAAGACAGAGTACTACTTTTCAGTGTTCATAAAACTGAGTCATATTGTTTCTCTTTTGTCAATATTTTAGCATGGAAATAGCTTTTTTTTAAGTTAAATGGCATATAAACAATGTATATTTCACCAGATTTAGATTAATTAGTATTTTCTTTTTCTAAATTTCAGGGCACATGAGGGATAAAGGAAATATGAAGATTTTTATATTTTCTTTTTATAGTCAGTGGTCAAACATAGATTTTTACAGACTATTTATCTTTGCAAAACTATGATGTTTATAGTTAAGAGAGAAGCATATTTAATACTTTTTGGATGATTTGGAATTTTCTACTCTGAATCGCTACTCAAGAGTATATATATAAAAATAAGAATTCAACACATGAAACCTTTATTTCTGATTGTGTAGAAATAATTAGGTGCAACTGATACTCTTTCAGTTATGCAATGTAAAAAATTCCTGAAGTATTGAATATTAGTATTATTTATAGTCATATTTGGTATGAGATTTCGTATGGTTAACACTAAACTTGGAAGTACTTTTAATAAAGACAAAATCTTGTGGTTAAGTCCAGATTTTATTTTAACCTCACATTTGTGTTACTGCTCACAGGCTATGTTACTGTGGTAATTTTTATAGGAAATGATAGAAAATTTGTATTATTTCCGAGTGTGATTTTTCCTAAAATTTCTATGTTGAATCCTTCTGATTAGTATTTATTTCTGCTTCTGTTACAAAAATTATTTAGTACAGAACACTATAAAAAAAAAAAAAAAAAAAAAAAAAAATAGTCAATGGAAGCAGTTCTAAATTCAATGAGAATAAATAAATCTATCCAGAAAGAGATAAAGAGGAAGAAATAAGAAAATGAGAGAGAAAGGAGGCAGGGATGAAATAGAGGTCAGTGGTGATTTCTTCCATAATTATTTTGTTGAATGCATTTTCATTGTCTTCATATTCTCATCCATGTTAAGCTTCATTTCACAATTAATTATCACTTGCTTTTTAATAAACTTGATGAAGTATATCCAATATATATTCTTAAATAAACATTTTGTTTAACCACTATCCACACAGTGTAATTCTACACCAAATGCACAAGACGGTTCTTCAGAGTACAGGTAGTGACCTAGTAGTGGGTTGCTGCATATCATAGAAATGATAATAAATAAACACAAAACTGAAGTAAATAAAAAGGACAGATATGTAAAATCCGGTTTGTGCATTTGTTGCAGAGTTGCAATAGAAGTAGTTAGAAGAATACTGTTTTAAGATAACAGCCAATGCATCACCACAAAAGCTGCAGCTACATTGCAATCGTCACAGTTTTTCTTTTCTTAGTTCTTTGAACTCTTTGAACAACAAATACCTGTGAGAGAAAGTAAATGACCAGCTTTTATATAGAAAAAAGGGATAATAAAAATACGGGAAATATTTTTTGTAACATTTATCTTAAATTATAAGAATAAGTTTAATGAACTTTCATGAAGTTTATAACGAGTATGTTATACACAAGCTTATAGTAAGAAAAATTGTCATGATGCTCTCACACAGACCATAGCATTTCTGATTTTGAGACAATGACATCTGGGAAGAATGTATAATGCATAATTGACAAAATGCACTGTTGATAGCTTGGTAGAGAGAACAAGTTGTAAAATTCTTATCAAATCTTACCGAAAAGTCATTCAGAAATTGCAATTTCTGGGTGATTCACCTGTCAGATAACTCACCAGCAATACCACTATGAATAAATAAACTGTATGTATTAATTATGATATTGATATTGGTGGGTCCACATTTATGCTGGAACTGTAGCAAATTTTAATGAATTTCCATATAAAATATTTCTCTAAGTGTCCATATCCATTTTTATATCATTGCTATATATCATACTGATCAGATACATAATGTTAATTTAACCTTTACTTATTTTCAATGAACAAATATTCACCACACTCTGACATAATATTTGTATATTAATATAACTGTTGTTTTTTAAACATGCTAAAATACAAAAACTTAAACTGTAAAACCATTATTCTAAGTTAATCTCATTATTATCATTATTAGAGTTGTGCTGGAACAGTACCTACAAAACAGTTTCAACTCTACTTGACTAAGGATCATTGCCAGAGCAGACAAATGGTCAAAAAGCCACTGTGTATGAAGACTTTTATAAAGCCAACCATTTTGAACTAGAATAATGCTAGAGTAATGCAACCACTGTTGGACAGCAGCACATTACTAACAATCTAACCTTGGACAATCCAATACCAACACTGGAGTGCAAATTGGCAGTTTTCTCCTTCCTTACAAACCCATATTTCTACAGTACTATTCCCACTACTTAAAACCATGTGGTAATTATTGCTGATTTCTGGACCAAAGCCTGATCATTCTCACTAGGGAAAACATTTTGGAATATGACAAAGGCACATTTACAATACATGGAAGATGGTAGACTTGACTTTTTGTATTTTGATTATATGATATGGAAGCGTACACATAACAATAAAAACTTGAACATGTAATTTTATTTTATGTCTGGAGGGCTTTGAGAATTATGAAAGATTTTGAAAGCTGTTTCATATAGAACAGGCCTATATCTTAGGCTGATGGACACATTTATTAGACAATTATTTATATCTCATTTTACATAAATTTGATTTTATGCCTTTATATTGTAAACATTACATTGCTGATATAGTGAAAGCAATGCAGTCAAGCACAAGAAATATGGAATAAATTATATATTTTGATTAAAATGTATATATTAATTCAGTACACCAATTAAAGAAAGAAAACTTAGACTATTATTTTATGTAGGAACAACTATATTTAAGAATGTAGTACAGCTACATATTTTTCACAAGAAAATTCATTACATGACTTCAGAGGGCTGCGAGCCATCTTTAAAGGATCCACCAAAAACCAGTATTTTACTTTTTTCTCATATATCTTCCAAAGTTTAGTTAAATTGATTATTTCTTTATATTCATGATGACCATGTTGACAATGCAATTTTATGCACTTGAGAGTGCAAGTGTTATTCAGGACGGTTGAATAAATAAATTAGTTTGAAAAACAACAACTTTGGAATAAACAATCTAGCTACAAGATATTTATAAGATCTGCCTGACATTGCACTGTCAACATGCATACCATGAAAAAAACTGCATCTTAGATGCTCTGTAAAGAATGTATGTATTTTATTTAGGTAGTTTTCAGTCTCTTTCATGCTGTTTTGGTTAGCATGTCTCGAGCTCACCAGCAAGACATCATACTGCACTATGAGAAACAAAGTGTGATTTTACCTTAAACTCTTAGATAACAAGTTCTTCAGGAAGGAACCCATCACACTTTTTTGTACCATATTGATGGCAGAAGACAGTTTTTGTGGTAAATAGGGAACATGTTTCCTGGGTTGTACAAGAATGTGAATAAGACACTCAGAGGATGAAAAGAAAATGAAATACTAACTGCATGTTCCAAAATAATCTTTCTGAATACTCCTTTTTTTATAATGTTGGAGATAATTTGTCTTAATACATTTCCCTGCACGAAAGAAAATATATTGGTTTTCCTTGATCTTGAGAAAGTTATGTGAAAAATAAATTGTACCATAAGCTAGACACCCCTGAACTTCTGTGACTTGAATACAAACGATTCTGAATTTAGATTTTACAAAGGAATACAGTATGTAGTGTGGAATACTCAGTGGAACACTATGCTCGTGTTTTTTTCCAAATTAAATACTATACTCTCTTTTCTCAACGAAAATTCAAATACAGTGATATCCTCGCCAAGTACATCTTCGCTCCATTGAAAGAATAAAGTATAGTAATGCCTAATTGTAATCAACATGGGTTTTTGGGTTTGGATTAATGTTTTCGGAAGCTCGTTTTGCACTTTGTAACACGTTTTAAACCCATGGCCAGAATAATTATGGAAACCGTATGTGTATGTGTGTGTGTGTGTGTGTGTGTGTGTGTGTGTGTGTGTGTGTGTGTGTGTGTGTGTGTGTGTGTGTGTGTGTGTGTGTGTGTGTGTGTGTGTGTGTGTGTGTGTGTGTTGGAAGCGAATGAGGCTATTCATAATATCTTACGAAAGAACTCTAATGGCGGAAAAAATGACCAAAAATCGCGTTCTACAAAATTCCTACAACAATAATCTGCCAGTGTTTTGCTACGAGTTCTCGGCGTCACGGATTGTCTTGGGGCGTCTGAGA